TTGCTGAGAAGCTCATTTGCTTCTTCAGTTGTCTCTGTTGTCACCGGTGGTCCTCCAAAGCTCATGTGATTGTATTCCATTAATGAAGACCTATCAAATTCATACCCAGATTCTGAAGGAAACAAACAGAGTTTCATACTTTTACTTTCGGTTAAATTATATGGAAAATACACAATAGAAACAAGAGTATACTCGCATACGAGTGTGTTTTGTTTCCAAATTCTTAGATAGACTCCAAAAGGAATATAAAATGGCGAAAAGAGATGTCACCTCTTCTGGCATTCAATCTTTTCTCGAAAAGGCGAACTGGGTCAGACCCTTCTAAACACGCCGCATAAAGAATCATCCTAAAACATAATCAGTCCCCAAAACTTATCAATACAAAAACTCAAATCCTTAAAATTGTGAGTTGTGAGTGCGTGAAAATTTCTGTGCAAGAAGGAATATGTAGGAGGCAGAGCAAGAGTAATCAGAAGAACATACAAGGCGAGTTCTCTGGCGGCTCTAGGACTGCAAAATCTACCACTTTTGTCTAATTTGGGCATCATTTCTTTGGGATTGGAATTTTCAACAGCCTCATCGGTAGTTAGAGCCCACGGGCGTAGAAGCGAACTCTTGGAACAGGACAAGAGAAGGCGAGGACATTTACGGACACAATTGTAGAAAAGGGAAGAAGAAGTGGAAATTTTGAGAGAATTGGAGATGAAATTGAGACGGGTTTTTGAATATGTTGATGTAAAGTGAGAATCAAAGGAGATGAGATTATGACTCATAGTAATTGCTCGAAATGGAGGAGAAGCAGGGAGAGTGAGCTAAATGCTGATAACAGAGTTTGCCTCCATTGCCTGCCTTATCCCACTCTTAAATCTCAGGAAAAAATTGTACCTTTAGTCCCCAATCTATTGATGAGTTGTAACTTAATCCCCAAAATTATTTATTTTTTGGGCTACTCCATCTTCAATATTTCGATTTCATAAGCATATTTTATCTTGACTATGAATCCAGTCCATTTAACTTTAAAAAATCATGGCCTTTAGTTAAAAAAAATGAAAAGAAAATGGAAGAAAAGCTTATTTCCTTCCCAACCTCGCAATTAGCAATTTATGTATAAAATTATTTTATTAGAGAATGTATAGGCTCCATATATTAATTAAAGGGGTTGGTAGACTCCATGCCTGATTTATTAACTCGTTTATACATAGCAAAACTGATAACCCTGTGAATATTAATTAAATCATTTCCATGAACTCCTGAGCAAGAAACTGATGCTGACCACAAAAAATCCTACTGCATATCCCAAACCAAAGGGAATAGTGTACCATGAAGTTCCCAACTCTTCCGTCGCCGGTGCCGGCGGCAACATTTCATCTTGACCTCCGGCGCAACTTTTTTGCAGTAATGACCCACAAAGTTTTGGATTCCCCTCAAATGAAGCGTTTGTGAACGTGTCAAACTGACCACCCTTTGGAATCTCTCCTTCTAAATCATTGTTTGCCACATTTAAAGCAGATAAGAAATGAAGTTTTTTTAACGATTCCGGGATCTCTCCGGTGAGATGGTTCCCTGACATGTCCAATTTCTCCAAATTGACAAGATGGGATAATTCGCTTGGAATGCTGCCATTGAAGTCGTTATCGTTGAGATCCAATTCTCTAAGAAGTCTCAAGTTTCCTAATTCTGCTGGAATGTTCCCACTCAGACTGTTATTCCCAACTTTGATTCCCCTTGGCAAGTTGAATAGTCGATTGTACTGGAGAGTGTCGAATAAGAAAGGCAATGCTAAATTACTCAAGTTTGGGTCTGTCTCGTCTGAAACTAAAGCTTTAAGGTTGCCAATCTCGCGAGGAAGTTCTCCGGTGAGGTGATTTCGAGTGATGTTTAGTACAAGCAGGTTTGGCATACTCCCCAACCATTTTGGGATTGTGCCTCTAATTTGATTGTAAGACAGATTCAGCACTTTCAGTTTCTTCAACTTTCCAATCCAAGAGGGCACTTCACCTTTGAGTCCGCATCCACCCAGAGTGAGAATTTGTAGATTCTGTAACCCATTTAGATGTAATAAATGGTCATCATTCGGCATCGGTTCATCTTTGAAGCACCTTGACAGGAAGAGAACTTCGAGATTATCGCATCGCATCAGAATTTTTAAAGCTCCAACAACGTTAGACAGGAAATTGTCGGAAAGTGAGAGATGGGATAAAGATTTTAGGCCAGCCAAGCAAGCTGGGATTTCGCCCGTCAACTGGTTAAATGCAAATCGAACTGCAGTCAGGGATCTACACAAGCACAGGCTAACTGGAATGTTACCCACAAAGCTATTGTTTCCAAAATCAATGGCTTCCAGTTTCTGGAGTGGGGAAAAATCAAGACTCGCGATTTCTCCTCCTAAATGATTATTTCGCAAAAGCAGCGTCTTCATGTTGGTGCAGTTCATCAAGGATGGAGGCACAGAACCATTTAGGCTGTTGGTGTGAATAATCAATTGATTCAAATTCGACAGCAACCCGAAATCTTTAGGAACCTCACCAGTCAATTCATTTTGATGGAGATCTATAACAGTAAGATTTGAGAGAAGAGAGATACTGTTGTTGATAGATCCTGTAAACTGGTTGTTAGCTAAAAATATTTCTCTCAATGTTTTCACACTGTAAAGATCAAATGGAAGCCATCCTGAGAGAGAATTGATGCCAGCCCTGAAAACTTCCAGCTTAGAACACCTTCCAATTCCTTGTGATACATTGCCACTGAATTTGTTCATGGAGAAATCCAGCATCCTTACATGTCTTGAGGTGATGCAAATAGAAACCGGAAGTGGACCGGTAAAACTGTTGTTACTAACATTGAAACTAATCAAACGCGGAGCACCATTGAAAAATGGAGACTGAATCGACCCATTAAACCTATTACTAGACAGATCTATTATATGAATTGAAGTAGGCAAGCTGTAGTTTGGTGTCCCGGACAGAAGATTATAGCTCAAATCAAGTGATTTCAAAGTACGAAAAACTGTGAAAGGAAAAGTGCCAGAGAATTGATTGTGGGACAGATTAAGGTGAGATAGAAACGTAAGATTCCCAAGAAAGGGAGTGATGGTTCCAGAAATACGCTTGCCTGGTATCGATAAATGGGTGACACGAGAGTCACGATTGCAGGTTACACCGTCCCATTTGCAGCAGTCGACTGATGACCAGTTGAGAGGTATTTCTGATGGTGGGAAGGAAACGTGTTTATAGAACGATAAAAGAGAATCACGATCAAGTTCATTACAGGAAAGTACTTCCACTTGTACACAAGAGAGTAAAAGGAAGAGGAAGAAGAGGAATATTGGCATTGAACAAATTCAGATTTTTTTCAGATGTCGGTCTTCTTTCGTTGATTTACACAACACACACACACATATATATATATATATGGAAATACCAGTTGGGTTCCACCATTCACAGAAGTGGAGGTGTGAAGTGGATTTGAATACGATGAAGCAGAAGTCAGTCAACAAAAGAGTACAATTACTGAATTGCCTGTGAAGAGGGAATTTCTTGTACATAACCCGTTTACCAACCCATCATTCAAAAGTTAACCCAATTTGATGTACTATATGCATTTCATATCACAAGTGTACAAGATTTTGTTGAATTAAAGATTCTCTTCATGTCTATCTAAACATTCTGGACCCACATTTTCAACACACAGTTACACACGCTAACTCGGCCCTTGTTTACGGTTGAGATTGAGATGAGTTGACTGCTATCTTCAGTTACAGTCTAGTCAAATTGTCATGATTTTAAGACGCGACCTTCCATCTTAAAAGGTCATCATGTTAAGATGAGCAATTATCTATATTTCGATATTTAATCGATATGAAATTTATCTCTTAACGTGTCCTACAAGATGGTAGCTCGTTTTAGCGGACCAATTTTGTAATGCATGTGTTCATTTAGTAGACTCTGATATCGTATTAATACTTGAAGTTCCATCTTAAAGGTTGATATATTAAGAAGAGTAACTCAAACCTTTACACACTGGATTGTGCCGGCCATAGGCTCTCTAACAGACAAGTCGGACAGTGATTTAATGTATTCACAATACGCGAGTTGAGCATAACTTGGGAACTGGATTGTACTTGTATTCACGAGAAAGGTTTTAGGAAAATGCTACCCTTACAGTCTTC